GAGGACTTAATTTGTAGCTTGGTTTTCAAGCTTTAAACTGTTTTTGGCTTGGAGGTAGGGTTTCACTGGGGACCCACCCCTAACTGCCTAGGCATTTGGCTGCCTCCTGTCACTATCACTAGATCTAGTATTGTTACCATTTCACTAAATCATATATCCATAGAGTTAGAAAACACCTTCATATATATATCATTTATTTCAGCAGCCTGTGTTAAAGAAACTAAGGTTTGGGCCGTGCACGGTGGATCACGCCTGTAGTCCCAGCACTTTGGGGGTCTGAGGCAGGTGGATCACAAGGTCAGGAGATCAAGACCATCCTGGCTAACATGGTGAAAATCCGTCTCTACCAAAAATACAAAAAATTAGCCAGGCGTGGGGGGCAGGCACCTGTAGTTCCAGCTACTTGGAAGGCTGAGATGGAAGAATGGCATGAACCCAGGAGGCGGAGCTCGCAGTGAGCCGAGATCGCGAGACTCCGTCTAAAAAATAAATAAATAAATAAATAAATAAATAAATAAATAAAAGAAACTAAGTTTCATAGCTTAACTGGAGATCACGTCTTCTCAGTTAAGTGCTCTGCCACAAACTTCCTCATTTGTGAAATTTGGAAAATAATACCATCCTCTACTTGTCCACAAATAGCATCTAATCATACGTAAGTATGTGAGAGCTCTTTAAAAATGCAAGGTATTAATTATTATTGGTTTTTATTTTAAATGTGGTTATATATGTTGATATTTAAAAGATTTCCTCCCATGAAGTAAGCCAGAATAAACTCATACCTACGAAATTCTGTCTAAAATCTTTTCTAAATTGACACTCTTGAGAAAGAATAGAGCTTGGAGGAAGAGCTAGTATTATAATTAGTAGCACAATAATCAGTTTATCATTAAACCACTTAGGTCTCTTTGTAACAAGATTTCTAAGCTTTAGTAGATGGATTCCTTATTCTATTTTATTTTATTTTATTTTACTTTATTTTATTTTATTTTATTTTGTTTTATTTTTTGAGACAGTCTTGCTCTGTCACCCAGGCTGGAGTGCAGTAGTGCAATCTCAGCTCACAGCAACCTCTGCCTCCTGGGTTGAAGTGATTCTTATTCCTTAGTCTCCCAATTAGCTGGGAGACTAAGGCGTGTGCCACCATGCCCAGCTAATTTTTTGTATTTTTAGTAGAGACAGGATTTCACCATCTTGGCCAGGCTGGTCTCAAACTCCTGGCCTCAAGTGATCTGCCTGCCTCAGCTTCCCAAAGTGCTGAGATTACACGCATGAGCCACCGTGCCCAGCCACTTATTTTATTTCATTTTATTTTTTAAATTTATTATTATTATTTTTTGAGACTGAGTCTTGCTCGATCACCCAGGCTGAAGTACAGTGGTATGATCTCAGCTCACTTCAACCTTTGTCTCCTGAGTTCAAGTAATTCTCCTGCCTCAGCCTCCTGAGTAGCTGGGACCCCAGGCATATGCCACCACACCTGGCTAATTTTTGTATGTTTAATAGAGATGGGGTTTCGCCATGTTGGCCAGGCTGGTCTTGAACTCCTGACTTTGTGATCTGCCTGCCTTGGCCTCCCAAAGTCCTGGGATTAAAGGCATGAGCCACCGTGCCCGGCCTTATTTTATTTTTTAATATAGTTTTATTTTAGACAGGGTCTTGCTCTGTCACCCAGGCCGGAGTGCAGTGATGCAATTACAGCTCGTTATGCCCTTCACATCCCTGGCTCAAGCGATCCTCCCAGGTAGCTCACGCCTGCTGGGATTACAGGTATGAGCCACCGTGCCCAGCCTGAATTTTCATTTTGATTAAAATAAGCAGCTGGGCATAGTTCCTCATGTCTGTAATCCCAGCACTTTGGGAAGCAGAGATGGGAGGACTGCTTGAGCTCAGAGTTCAAGACCAGCCCAGGCAACATGGCGAAACCCCGCCTCTACTAAAAATACAAAAATTAGCCTGGTGCCCTGGCATGTGCCTGTAGCCCAGTTACTTGGGAGGGTGAGATGGGAGGATTAATTGAGCCCTGGAGGTTGAGGCTATAGTGAGCCGAGATCATGCCACTGCTCTCCAACCTGGGTGACAGAGTGAGACCCTGTCTCAAAAATAAAATAAAATAAAATAAGATAAAAAACTCAAAAGAAGAAAAAAAAATCATTTAATTATAGTTCTTTGTAATAAATAGTTGAAGAGATTTACTCATTTGGGCAAAAGGATATTTTAATAATGTCTCCTCTTTATAATGTCTTTAGTGGAGAAGTAAATGAAGGGATAGATTTATGAGAATGGGACATTTGCAAGGCTATTCCTAGCTCTGTTTTTAGTGAAAATGAGATGCCTGCCCATGACTGAAACAAACAAGATAAAAGGCCTCCTCCCTATTGGAGTTTCCATACATAAATCTTAGATTGATCCTTTACTTCCGGGCTTCTACTTACCTTTCGTGACTCTTCTGAATCCTTCATTCCCTTCTCTAATCTTGTTGGTTTTAATTTTTAGTATTCTCTTCCTTAAAGAGCACATAGGTTTCAGCAGGCTAGGAGTGGGGAGTAGTTTCTGGAATGTGGCTGGATGCTGGGCTAGGGTGTAAAGGTCAGCGCCTCTCCAGTGCACGGAACTGGAGGAGAATCAGGAACCCTGGGTATTTGTTCTGCCACTGACCTTGACATCCGGGCTTCAGGTTAAGTCACTTAACATCTGGGCTTCTGATTCACCCCTAGTGTAGGTTGCAGTAAACAGCTTTTAGTTGTAAAAAAAATCTGAGTTCTAGGCCAGGTGCGGTGCCTCATGCCTGTAATCTCAGCACTTTGGGAGGCTGAGGTGGGTGAATTGAGGTCAGGAGTTCAAAATTAGCTGGTCGTGGTGGTGCATGCCTGTAATCCCAGCTACTCAGGAGGCTGAGGCAGGAGAACTGCATGAACCCAGGAGATGGAGGGTGCAGTGAGCCAAGATTGCGCCACTGCACTCCAGCCTGGGTGACAAAGCAAGACTCCATCTCAAAAAAAAAATCCTATTCTAATAGGTGATCCTAACACTAGTAGCTCTAAGCACAGCCAGAGTGGTGGAAAAAGGAAATGGAGATGGATATAACAGGTTGGGAATAGGGGAGAAAAGGTTATAGGTGAGACTTGGTGTTCTGAAGGATGGGAGAATATGCCACCCCAAATTATACCACTTTGGGGCAAGGATTATTATTATTTTTTGTTTTGTTTTGAGACGGAGTCTCACTCTGTCAGCCAGGCTGGAGTCCAGTGACGTGATCTGGGCTCACTGCAACCTCCGCACCTGGGTTCACATGATTCTCCTACTTCAGCCTCTTGAGAGTAGCTGGGATTACAGGTGCCTGTCACCAGGCTTAGCTATGCCCAGTTAATTTTTTGTATTTTTAGTAGAGATAGGGTTTCACCAAGTTGCCCAGGCTGGTCTCAAACTCCTGAACTCAGGTGATCCGCCTGCTTTGGCCTCCCGAAGTGCTGTGAACCATCCTCCCGGCCCACAAAGATTATGTTTAACTAAAACCATTTAAAAAACAAAAACTAGGCGGGGCATGGTGGCTCATGGCTGTAATCCTAGCACTTTGGGAGGCCGAGGCAGGTGGATCACCTGAGGTCAAGGGTTTGAGACCATCCCGGGCAACATGGTGAAACCCTGTCTCTACTAAAAATACAAAAACTTAGCCAGGCATGGAGGCAGAGGCAGAGGTTGCAGTGAGCCGAGATCATGCCATGGCATTCCAGCACTCTAGCCTGGGCAACCGGGCAAGGCTCCTTCTGGAAAAAAAAAAAAAAAAGATTGATAACTTCCGGACAGGGCGGGACTTTCATCCTTATCCCCCGTCGCTGGGAGGGGAAAGGGGCTGAATGTCAAATGGATCACCAATGGCCAATTGTTTAGTCAATCGTACTTATTTAATGAATCCTCCACAAAAATCCAAAAGGACAGGATTTGGAGGGATAACTTAACACAAAGACATTCCTGGAGCGTGGAGTGTGGGAGGAGAGCATCAAAGAAGACTCCTGCCTCTTCTCATACAACTGATCCTATGCATCTTTTCATCTATACCCTTTTTAAGATCCTTTCTAATAAGCCAGGAAAGGTAAGTATTTCCCTGAGTACTGTGAGCCACTCTAGCAAATTAATGAAACCCAAAGGGTGGATGGTTGGAGCCCCAGCTTGAAACCTGTTGGTCAGAAGCTCAGGGTACCTGAACTTATGACTGGTGTCTGAAGGGGAGAGTAGTCTTGGGACTGAGCCTTCAACCCGCGGGATCTGAGGCTATCTCCAGAAAATACATCACAATGGACTTGAATTAGGGCACACCCAGCTGGTGTCTCCTGCTTGGGGTGTGGGGGAAAACCCCACACATTTGATCACAGAACTCTTCTGTGTTGATCATGTTGGTGTGAGAGCAGAGGAAAAACGGTTTGAGTTTTTCCTCACAGCTTTTCTCTTGTTAATCTATTTTATGTCAGTTTAATGCTCAGGCCCAGAGGAAAACCCCTAAAAGGGGAGAGGTAAAACTACCCTTCCTGCGGTAGAACTGGACTTGTGGGATGGAGATGAGAACAGTGATTCTCTATCTCGTTTCATCTCAACCACTCCTTTGCCATCAGATTACACACACATAATGCAGCCGAATTGGATGGGAGCTTGTCCTATCCCGGATCATTGTGAGTGAAGCTTGATTTAAACCCGTCATTTCTTAGTAAACTTTACAGAAAATCTGCAATCAAATAAACCAAGGTGCCCTCTGTATTTTATTGCGCTCCTGTTACTAGTATTTCACAGGATTTTAGAAACGCAAGCAGCGCTATGGAGTCAATGGGGGAGGGCAAAGAACAGGGGAGATCTGTGAGAACGGGATCGGGGAGGAGGCGACCGGGAGGGGTGAGGGGTCCTCTCTGCCGCCAGGCGGAGCTGGGAGCCGGGCGACCCCGCACGCAGCGCGAGGAGCGACCCCGGACTGACTACATTTCCCAGTCTCCGTCGCTCCGCGCGGCCCGCCCCTCAGCTCTGGGCCCCGCCTCGTCGCGCCGGCTGCTTCTTCGCGCCCGCCCGACTTCCCAGCGGCCCCGTGCGGCCCGGGCATGCCCAGTGCGGGCGCAGCGGCCCCGGCCCTGGAAGCGCCCCGGCGGAGCGGGCCCGCGGTGGGCGAGGGGCCGGGCCGGAGCCGCGGCGGCGGAGCTGCGGGTAGGTGCGGCATCAGCCAAGCCAGGCCTCGGGACCGCCGCGCCGCCCATTCTGAGTGGCAGGGGCCGGGAGGGCAGGCAGGACCCCAGCGTGGGTTGGTGGGGCTACCCGCGAGGACCCCTTGCGGGAAGGGGCCGGAGGGAGCGGGACGGGACCGGGCACATCCCCGGGCGAGGCTTCTCCAGGTGGGGCGCGGCTGTCTTTAGCTCCTTGTGTGACCGGAGGTGTGCGTGGTCCGCACCTCGTGCACAGTTGTGCCTAAGGAGGGAGACCAGTTTTCAGCCGAATTGCCTAGGAGCTGTGGGGAGATGGGCCCGAATGGACCCGTGGACTCAGAGGCAGCCCGTGGAGCCCCGTGGGAAGTGAGGATGTTTACCTTCCCTGTACCTGGAGTGGGCTGCGACAGCTTCCTGCTTGCCGAGACTTGGGTTTAGTGACTTACAAATAAAAGTGCAGGACTGTGCCTCAGCAGATGCTTATTAGCTTTTAATGAGTGTTAGGAATTTAATGTCATTTGTATTTCCAGGTTTGAGAGGTTATTTGTCCATGGGATGCTCGTGTTAAAAAAAAAAAAAAAATTGCAAAGCTTAAAAACAAGTCGACCGAGATAACATTAGGACACCGGGTTCTGAGGTTCACTGTAGCTACCATTCATTTGCTGTCAGTCTGGGCAAGTCATTTAACTCCTGAGACTCGGTTCTCTCACCTGTTAAATGAACCAGATTCATCTTCATCTGTCTAGCTCAGCTGTAGGATTCCCCCTGTGTCATTCAGTCTCTGTGTGATCTCAAATTGTGGCAAGTTATTTTTCCCCATGCCTCACTTTTTGTTAGACTGGGTAATTCACCAAATATTCCTGTAGGAAGAATGTTAGGATCTAAGTATAAAAGTGAAGTGATTTACCCTTCATAGGCCACTCTTAGTCAAGAGGTGTCCTGCCACTTGGTACATGCAGAAACCAGGTGTTAGCTGGTCACGGATCAAATGACACAGCTGTTGTGGACTGAGGCAGAATGTTTCAGGTTCCCTGTCAGTACCCTGTGAGAAATCCAAGCCAAGTAATGGGCTTCCCTAAACCTCCCAGCTGGCTCACTTTAGTGGGGTTGTGTTTATATAGAATTTTAAGTGTTTTTCATGCTGTTGTGCCCTATTAGATGCAAGAAACCTATGAAGAAGTTTAGTACCCTTAATTTCCAGATGAGCAAGTGGCAGGTTAAGGCAGTGGATTGGGAGTCTTTACAAACTAGTGTCGTGCATATCACTGAGCATTTGCTAGTCGTCGAGCTCAGCCGCCCTCACCTCAACCCTGAGAACACGTCTGTATGGCTGTACCTCGGCGACTGGAACTCTGAGGTCTTTGTTTTCAGGAGGGAATAGTGGGAGTATTAACAGAAGCTTCTCACCCTAGAGACTTCTTTCCGAAGTGAGCCCATCTGTGTAGGATTTGACCTAAGGAGCAGAGGGTATATACAGTGTTGGGCAAATTGCCTTCCTACTGCCATATCCCCTGCTCTTCCAGTTCTGAATGGCATTAGTCCAGTTGGGTCAATGAGGAGCAGTTTGGTGAAGTGGTTAAAGGTCGGGGAAAGTGTGCTTATATTTTGAAATTTAAGGTTTGTACAAGCTGCTTGTGAAATTCTGTCTTTGTATTATGGTCATACCTCTTAAACTGAGAATACTGCAACTTGGTTTAGTGAGTGTTGAGAACTTTAGAATATCAAGTTCTTAAAAAATGCATGAAAGTGGGTTTTCTATTCATCTTAGAAGTCACCATAGATTAAATGAGAGAATAGTATATTAAATTTATACACATGAACTCTCAAGTTCTTAATTTTTGAAACTAGATACCCCATTCACCTGAGAAATAAAATGGGAAAGCCTTACTGTTTTAAAGACTGTTTATACATATGAACTTTTTTGAGGCCTACTTTAAATTCCACTATTTATTGCATGTTTATTAAAATTATATCTGTATATATTTAAAATTAGAAAACATAGAAAAGACCAGCTGGGCGTGGTGACTCATGCCTGTAATCCTAGCACTTTGGGAGACTGAGATGGGTGGATCACCTGAGATCAGGAGTTCGAGATCAGCCTGGCCAACATGGTGAAACCCCATCTTTACTAAAAATAAAAAAATTAACCAGACGTAGTGGCAGGTGCCTGTAATCTCAGCTACTCGGAAGGCTGAGGCAAGAGAATCTCTTGAACCCAAGAGGTGGAAGTTGCAGTGAACCGAGCCGAGTATTGCACTCCAGCCTGGGCAACAAGAGCAAGACTGTCTCAAAACAAAACCAAACCAAAACAAAAAGACCATTAAAAAGACCTATTTGGAGGTTTTGGTAGCCAATTTCATGTCATACCTTAAACCTTACTGTGTGCCCGAGGGCTCTGTATGACTGAAGCACGTATGTAGTAATGTTTGTAAGAACTTTTATCTTACTCTTGTATTTTTATTCAAGTATTTGAAGGTATCCAGCAAATATAAAAATTGCTTAAGATACTGAAATGTAATTATCATCCATCTCCAAACCCTCAAAAGTGCTTAGAATGTGTAGGAGGGATAGTTAGGGGCATTGAGGTTCAGAGGTTACTGGTCAAGAGCACATTGTAAAAATGTAAAATGTAAAAATGAAACGGTGTAAACTAGCCGGGCGCGGTGGCTCAAGCCTGTAATCCCAGCACTTTGGGAGGCTGAGACGGGCGGATCACAAGGTCAGAAGATCGAGACCATCCTGGCTAACACGGTGAAACCCCGTCTCTACTAAAAAATACAAAAAGCTAGCCGGGCGAGGTGGCGGGCGCCTGTAGTCCTAGCTACTCGGGAGGCTGAGGCAGGAGAATGGCGTGAACCCGGGAGGCGGAGCTTGTAGTGAGCTGAGATCCGGCCACTGCACTCCAGCCCGGGTGACAGAGCGAGACTCCGTCTCAAAAAAAAAAAAAAAAAAAAAAGAAATGGTGTAAACTGTAAAACCGCTTGTAAAAATGAAAGGGTAGTGAGTGGTTTAGAAAAAAATTAGGGATTTTAGGTTTCAGCTGTACACGAATAGCTTCACTTGATTCACTCTATAGAGCTACAAGTATGTGAGGTCATCATGTGGAAATGTGCAGGAAGTAACTTATCTTTAAAATAAATATTTTGCCCCCATTATGTTCCATCTGTTTCCAGATCCTTCATGATGAGAGATTTGGGGACACTTCTCTCTCCTCTGTGTAGCTGATAGTTTGGTGGTGAAGAATGGCTGACAGTGTCAAAACCTTTCTCCAGGACCTTGCCAGAGTGAGTACATCTTGTTTATAGGAATTCATCTCTTGGCCTTTTTATTTTGCTGAAGGAACCATCTAGGAAATCCTGTAGGGTTTTTGGAACTTTTATCATATTTCTTGGGCTCTTTACATACAGGTTATTATTCTAGACCACACTACTCAGAGATAGGTATTGTTCTACATCTTGTAGACACTCTTGCTTGGAAGACCTCCTCAGTGGACGTCTCCAGTATTGGGTTGGAACCCTGGTCACCTTGGCTTCAGAGCTTTTTTTTTTTTTTTTTTTAAACTTTTTATTTTGGAATGTGTTTAGATTCACAGAAAAGTTATAAGGTAGTATAGAGAGTTCCTATATATCCTTCATCAGCTTCCCTTAATGTTAACATATAACCGTGGTACATTTGCCAAAACTAGGAAATGAACATTGATACAGTACTATCACCTAAACTAATTAATTCAAATTTAAATTAGAGAACTTTTTTTTTTTTCTCCCCAAATTTTTCGTATATTTAAAAAATTTTTAAAGTAGAGATGGGGTTTTGGCATGTTGCCCAGGCTGGTCCCAAACTCCTGGGCTCAAGTGATCCACCCGCCTTGTCCTCCCAAAGTGCTGGGATTAAAGGCATGAGCCACTGCACCCAGCCGGAACCTTTTTTCTCCCCATTCTACAGACTGCGCAGGTGAGGGGGATACTCTAGGAAAATGCCCTGTAAAGATCTGGTTAGGACCCAGTCATCCAAATTACCAATAGCACAAAAGTCTGCTACTTTTAATGTATGTCTGAAGCCTAATAATGTCCCATTTGTAACCCCCTCTTATATATCCACTAGCATGAGAGAGGCCAATTCTTGGAGTGGGGAGGTTCATTCTTTAGTGAGAGAGTTTAAAAGGTTACCTTTATGGCCCGGGGAAGTGGCTGACACCTGTAATCTTAGCACTTTGGGAGACCAAGGAGGGAGGACTGCTTGAATCCAGGAGTATGAGGCAGCAGTGAGCTGTGATGGTACCAGTGCACTCTAGCAGGGCAAGAAAGTAAAAAGGTTATTACTTTTGAGTAAAAAAGAGATTGAAAGAGTATCCTACAAGGTCTAAAAAGACTTTATGCATATGATGTACTATTTTTTTTTTAAGACAGAGTCTCACTGTGTCACCTAGGCTGGAGTGCAGTGGTGCAGTCTCAGCTCACTGCAACCTCCACTTCTTGGGTTCTAGCAATTCTCCTGCCTCAGCCTCCCAGGTGGCTGGGATTACAGGCACACATCACCACATCTGGCTAAATTTTGTATTTTTAGTAGAGATGGGGTTTCACCATGTTGGCCAGGCTGGTCTTGAACTCCTGACCTCAGGTGATCTGCCTGCCTCAGCCTCCCAAAGTGCTAGGATTACAGGTGTGAGCCACCATGCCCAGCAGCATATGATCTACTTTTAACATCTTTACCTTGTTGTCTTGCCATTTATGGGCTATAAAATTTCAACCCTCCCAGCCTGGACAACATAGCAAAACCCCCTCTCTACTAAAAATACAAAAAAAATTTAGCCAGGCATGGTGGCACATGCCTGTAATCCCAGCTACTCAGGAGGCTGAGGCAGGAGAATCGCTTGAACCTAGGAGGTGGAGGTTGCAATGAGCCGAGATCATGCCACTGCACTCCAGCCTGGGCGACAGAGCAAGACTCTGTTTAAAAAAAAAAAAAAATCAACCCTGTGTTGGTTCTACAGTGTGCTATTTACATGTTTCTCTGCCCCACTGGACTGTAGATGTCTTAGAGGTGGGGATCCTATCATCCTAGGATGTCCTAGGTCCTCAGCCATTTGAACTTAATTATCTTAGATAGTTGGAGTTTCCTGAGTTAAAAGCAAAATCAGGAGTAAAAATTACTCAGACAAAAAAGATCAAAGGCACACTGTGCCAGTTTATGCTCCTGTCAACAGATAATACATCAACTTGCCCATTTCTCTGTATTCCAGCTATTATTTCTAAAATTCGTTTTGTCTGATAACAGTAGGCGAGAATGCTATCCATTCTTAAATCCAGCTTGGCCATTGCTTCCAGAATAACTTTTTCTGCCTTCTCATGAAGTTGAATGCCCCAGTGCTAACACTCTACTTGGGCCATACATCTGTTGTGGCACTTATTAAACTATGTGTGCTTGCTTCTGCAGCACATGTACTAAAATTGGAACAATACAGAGATTAGCGTGGCTCCTGTGCACGACACACAACTTCATGAAATGTTTCATATTTAAAAACATTTTTTAAAAAAACCTTCAATGTAATTTTTTGGTTTACTTGTGTGCTTCTCCTACTAAGTTATAAGCTTCTCGAACACTTTAGATGACAATATACAGCTTATTGAAGATACTCAGTACATGGGTGGGAGATGGATGCATGAGTGAATTCTTAGCCTTTGGGAGGCTGAGGCAGGAGGATTGCTTGAGGCCAGGAGTATGAAACCAGCCTGATCAACATGATGAGACCACCATTGCTACAGAAGAAAAATTTAAAAGCCACGTGTGGTGGCGCACATCTGTATTCATAGCTCCTTGGGAGGCTGAGGCAGGAGGATCATTTGAACCCAGGAGTTGGAGGCTGCAGTGAGCTATGATTGAGTCACTGCACTATAGCCTGGGTGACAGAGCAAGACCCTGTCTCAAATAATAATAATAATAATAATGATAATGATAATGATATCCTTTTCTACAGGGAATCAAAGACTCCATCTGGGGTATTTGTACCATCTCAAAGCTAGATGCTCGAATCCAGCAAAAGAGAGAGGAGCAACGTCGAAGAAGGGCAAGTAGTATCTTGGCACAGAGAAGAGCCCAGAGTATAGAGCGGAAGCAAGAGAGGTAAGGAGTGCATGCCTGATACCAAAATGTCCAAGGGAGGGAAGAAGCTACATAGTGACTCAATGTTTCCGTACCACTTCATTTCTTTTGTGCTTTTTCCCAGAAAAATGTTGCAAGTGATTCCCCCCCCTTCCCCGCCGACATTGACTTAAACTAGGGTCTAACAATCATCCTTGCTAAAAATGTCATGGTGTTAAATCAGAATGCTGAATAGAGAACCAAAAAATATTATTTGGTTTGATAGATACGTCTAGGGAAGCCTGTGTGGATTTCTGTATTAATAGAAGAACCCCAGCCCCACACTTTCTCTTTTAATCTTTTCCAACATCAGACTTTAAATTATTTTTCTTTTAAAAGCTGGTTTCCCAGAAATATATATATATATAAAATATGTGTGTGTGTGTATGTATATATATGTACATATATATCTTTCTTTGGAGACAGAGTCTTGCCCTGTCACCCAAGCTGGAGTGCCGTGGTGCAATCTCAGCTTACTGCAGCCTCTGCCTCCCAGGTCCAAGCAATTCTCCTGCCTGAGTCTCCCAGCTAGCTGGAAATACAGGTGCACACCACCACACCTGGCAAATTTTTTGTATTTTTTAGTGGAGACAGGGTTTCACCATGTGGGCCAGGCTGGTCTCGAACTCCTGACCTCAGCTGATCCGCCTACCTCGGCCTCCCGAAGTGTTAGGATTACAGCCATGAGCCACTGCACTTGACCATTTTTTTATTCTTTTCTCATTGACTGACATTAGAACATTGGGAGAACATGAGGTACTGAAAAATAATACAGTACCCACAAAAGATATAAAACGAACTACTGAATGACAATTAGGAAATAACTTATGCCTTATAAACTAAATACATGTGATCTTTTCCAGTGAGCCACGTATTGTTAGTAGAATTTTCCAGTGTTGTGCTTGGAATGGTGGAGTGTTCTGGGTAAGTTCTTTAAATTCCAGGGGCCTTACAAGCATCTTCAGATTGTTGCTGGGTTGATGAACTGTTTTCTTGAAACACTAAGACAAATAGCTTTCATCTGCTGATGTACACTTAGGAATATAACTCAGGAGTCTGTGCATCTGCAGCGATTTTATTCCCACTCGAGAAAGCACACTTGTATGTAAGCAAACATCACAGTTAGCCCTGAATATACACTTGTATTTTTGTTTCTAAAATGACACATTCACAAGTGTTATAGGTAGCAGTTTCTCTTGACGCTGTCTAGACATTTTAAAATGCTAACAGCAACTATGGGGGATCAGGGGAAGGGCAGATACGGCTAGACAAGAACAAGGTTCTCCCTGCTTCTGCTTATGGTGATCAACAAGAACTAATTTGCATTGAAACCTATAGCAGAAAAGATTGCCTACTATTAACTGAGAACCCCAGTGCAGGCTTAACTGAAATTTGGGTACTTTGAAGAATGGATAAATATTTCTTTTGACTTAGAATTTAGAGTAATTCATCACATCTTAATCTAAACAATTCACAGATGTTTTCAGATGTTAGCTTTAAATTTAATTAATATGTATTCCTGTGTACTTAGTACATGCCTGTATTTTGGCCTGAATACTACTTGAAATGTTCCTCTATGTCCCCAAACGTTTCATTGTTTTATAGGTAGTGTCAAGTTTGTATCTCAATTGGAGTGTTGGGAAACAGAAATAGATCCAGTTTTGATGCTTTTTCAGGCCTCCTGATTTATTTTTTTATTGTTTTGAGATGGAGTCTCACTCTGTTGCTCAGGCTGGAGTGCAGTGTCATAATCTTGGCTCACTGCAACCTCTTCCTCCCGGGTTCAAGCGATTCTCCTGCCTCAGCCTCCCCAGTAGCTGGGATTACAGGTGTGCACCACCACACCCGACCAATTGTTGTAATTTTAGTAGAGACGGGGTTTCACCATGTTGGCCAGGCTGGTCTCGAACTGACCTCAAGTGATCCGCCTGCCTCGGCCTCCCAAAGTGAGCCACCACACCTGGCCTAGGCCTCCTGATTTATAAAAGGCACTCCCATCTATGAAATCATTACACTAAAACTTGAAGCTCCTGTTTTAAAGACTGGATTTTGATGTTTGCCTTGTTGCTTCTTTTCTTTAGTTCAGTCTCCTCTTGTTTTATCGAGTATTTATTCCTGTGCTTCAGTCAGTAACAGCCCGAATTATCGGTAAGTATATACCCCGCTCCTTTACTGTTGGGGACGGAGTAGGAGATGATGTTTCAGTCTCCCTCAGTTTACTGAACATTTCCTGTGTACCAGGAGCTTTCACTGTTTATTTTCTTTTTTGTTGTTTTATTCTTTTTAAAAATGTATATTTAGTTATTCTCCTAGAGCCTTCAGATGAGAGTGTTCGCTGTTTTTTAACTCAGGCCTTTCAGCAGCCCTTTATGATGGATACTGTTATTCTATCCATTATGAATGAGGAAATGGAAGATACCTAGGTTAAACCATTAGTAAGTGGCAGAGCTGAAACTGAAACCCAGATGGTATCCTGCAAATAGTGTACTGGTAATCACTGTGGCATCTCGTTACCATCATGTAAGCAGATTTGTGTCAACATAAGCAGCACATATCTATGGCTTCTTTGAATTGGAATTGTGGCTAGAATGTGGTGTGTCCTTTATGAGTTAGACTCACTGAGATGGGTATAGTGATGTGCTGGCAAGAACTAGAAAGATCCAGGAGGAGACAGAGAATAGTCACGAGATGGGGGTTCCGCATTTGGTCTTCTGTGTTTCCATTTCTCCATTTCTAATAACTCGTTTTCTCTCTCTTAGGTGACCCATCACTACATGGAGATGTTTGGTCGTGGCTGGAATTCTTCCTCACGTCAGTTTTCAGTGCTCTTTGGGTGCTCCCCTTGTTTGTGCTTAGCAAAGTGGTGAATGCCATTTGGTTTCAGGTAGGTCCAAGGCAGAATGGAGTCTGGGTCCCGCAGCATGATTGGTTGACAGGTGACAAGTTTCAGCCTGGGAAGTTAGTGGGCATATAGGGGGACCTGTTTTTCAGCCTTAATGTTTCTTAGCCAAGCAGCCAGTAGGTGATCTTTGTGTTCTTATAGAATGGAATTATTGTCTCAGCATCTCATTGGCAGATGTCTGGTGCCTCTTTTTTTTTGGAGACAGAGTCTCTGTCGCCCAGGCTAGAGTGCAGTGGTGGGATCTTGGCTCACTGCAACCTCTGCCTCCCGGGTTCAAGCAGTTCTCCTGTTGCAGCCTCCCGAGTAGCTGGGACTACAGGCACGCGCCACCATGCCTGGCTAATTTTTTTTTATATTTTTGTTAGTGACAGAGTTTCACCATGTTGGCCAGGCTGGTCTCAAACTCCTGACCTCCCAATCTGCCCACCTTGGCCTCCCAAAGTGCTGGGATTATAGGCGTGAGCCACTGCATAAGGCAGCAATCCTCCTACCTTAGCCTCCTGAGTAGCTGGGACTATAGGCACATGCCATCACACCCAGCTTATTTTTAAATAAGTCTTTTCTTAACTGGCATCTCTAGTGGCAGACCAGTGGTCTTAGCTTTGGGGATGTATATCAAGGCCATTTAATTCATGTTTTGGTACACTTTCTCTGTTACAGGATATAGCTGACCTGGCATTTGAGGTATCAGGGAGGAAACCTCACCCATTCCCTAGTGTCAGCAAAATAATTGCTGACATGCTCTTCAACCTTTTGCTGCAGGCTCTTTTCCTCATTCAGGTGAGACTGACCTTCTGGGCATATGGGCAGCTTTATTAAAAAGAAAAACTGTTTCACTAGTGGGAGCTTCACAAAGACAGAGTATTATATTTATGCAGAGTATTATATATATGCTGGTGGGAGGTAATGATTTTTAAATCTTTTTTTTTTTTTCACAGAAATGAGAATTTTAAAATTACATTATAAAATTATAAGAAACATGAATTTACCTGCCCTTTTCTGCTACTCTGGTTATTCTCCAGTCCTGCCAGGTGGAAACTGTTTTTTTCTTTTTATAGTTATGCCTAACTTTTTTTAAAAGAGACATGGTCGGCTGGGCACGGTGGTTCATGCCTGTAATCCCAGCACTTTGGGAGGCCAAGGCAGGCGGATCACCTAGGGTCAGGTGTTTGAGACCAGCCTGGCCAACATGGTGTAACCCCGTCTCTACTAAAAATACAAAAATTAACTGCGTGTAGTGGCACATGCCTGTAATCCCAGCTACTCCGGAGACTGAGGCAGGAGAATCACTTGAACCCAGGAGGCAGAGATTGTAGTGAGCCAAGATCATGTCATTGCACTCCAGCCTGGGCAACAGGAGCAAAACTGTCTCAAAAAAAAAAAAAAAGACAAGACAGGGTCTTATTTTATCACCTAGGCTGGAGTACAGTGGCACAATCATACCTCACTGCAGCCTCAAACTCTGGGCTCAAGCAATCCTTCTGCCTTAGCCTCCTGAGTAGCTGGGACTACAGGCACATGCCATCATGCCCAGCTTATTTTAAAAATTTTGTTGGCCGGGCGCGGTGGCTCAAGCCTGTAATCCCAGCACTTTGGGAGGCCGAGACGGGCGGATCACGAGGTCAGGAGATCGAGACCATCCTGGCGAACGCGGTGAAACCCCGTCTCTACTAAAAAAATACAAAAAAACTAGCCGGGCGAGGCGGCGGGCGCCTGTAGTCCCAGCTACTCGGGAGGCTGAGGCAGGAGAATGGCGTAAACCCGGGGGGCGGAGCTTGCAGTGAGCTGAGATCCGGCCACTGCACTCCAGCCCGGGCGACAGAGCCAGACTCCGTCTCAAAAAAAAAAAAAAAAAAAAAATTTGTTGTAGAGTCAGGGTCTCAGTATGTTGCCCAGTCTGGTCTTGAACTCCTGGCCTCAAGAGATCCTCCCGCCTCATCCTCCCAAACTGTTGGGATTACAGGAATGAGTCACTGTGCCCACCCTGCACCCGGCCTTTTACAAACTTGAGAGGCAGCTAGGAAGCTGTCTCAGACAGTGATGATTGGAGAGTGGCAGGTGAATGGTGCTAGGTTTCCGAGGCTTGGGATTAAGATTTTCCATATTTGTTCTTCAGGGAATGTTTGTGAGTCTCTTTCCCATCCATCTCGTCGGTCAGCTGGTTAGTCTCCTGCATATGTCCCTTCTCTACTCACTGTACTGCTTTGAATATCGTTGGTTCAATAAAGGTAAGTTCATCTAAAGAAGTCCAGAAAGTGGAGGCCCAGTTTGAAAATGCTACTGCTAAGCAGACTTCTTCAACTACTCAATAGTCAGGCTCTTAGCAAACCTTCCTTTGAGGGAAGCAGCCTCATTGGCAAGAGGGAGCTTACCTTTGGCTTAGTGGGTTTAACTCTCAACTTTGAGGCTGGGGGATGTGGTAGTATAGCATTATCTTTTTGATGCTTAACATGGTATATCTCTGACTGGGTTGTAAGATGGCATAAATGAGCACGAGTTGCTCTAAATTAGAGAAATCAAATTGATGTCAGCATCTGGATCCTTTTGGGGTTGTTTTAGAAAGACCTTCAAGTATTTACCAGGGTGTGCGTGGTTGAAAGAGGTTAACTGATACTTACAGAATGGCATCCTTTTGATTTGCTATCTTGTTTAGTTCCAGACTAATCCTGACAAAGGATGCTGGTGCTGAAATTCTTAATTCACTTAGCCTGTCAGCTTTGAAGTTATGATTATGGAATTCTAAAAAACTTTGCATGCTTTATATCGGATTTGTACACTTCTAATTTATATGCTGTAACTCTGTTCTAAATCTGTACCTAGGCTGGGTGTGGTGGCTCACACCTGTAATCCCAACACTGGGAGGCCGAGGCAGGCGGATTGCCTGAGGTCAGGAGTTCAAGACCAGCCTGGCCAATATGGTGAAACCCTGTCTCTACTAAAAACACAAAAATTAGCCAGGCGAGGTGGCGGGCACCTGTAGTCCCAGCTACTCGGGAGGCTGAGGTGGGAGAATCGTTTGAAATCTGGAGGTGGAGATTGCAGTGAGCTGAGACTGCACCACTGCACTCCCACCTGGGCATCAAAGCAAGACTCCATCTCAAATAATAATAATAATAATAAATCTGTACCTAAAGCTCATGGTTTGTCTACCATAGTTATTTAGTCACTTGACTAAAAGGAAATAGAATATCTAATTGTATTGGCTTTCTTGTTTTAGGAATTGAAATGCACCAGCGGTTGTCTAACATAGAAAGGAATTGGCCTTACTACTTTGGGTTTGGTTTGCCCTTGGCTTTTCTCACAGCAATGCAGTCCTCATATATTATCAGGTAATTTGGCTAGAGGGATTTGAAGGAGACTAGTAAAAATAAAAATTCATGAAGTCAGTACCTTTTGCTTGCTTGGTTCTGTTTCGCATTACACACTGTCATTTGTCCGTCAGGAAACCTGCAGGGTGTTTCTGGATTTGTTAGCATGAAGATCTAGTCTGAATGTCCCTATATCCCATTATCCCGTATTATTTTTCTATGTTGCCTCCTGGAGCAATTTTTCTTTTCTCTTTTTTTTGAGACAAAGTCTCACTCTGTCACCCAGGCTGGAGTGCAGTGGCGCAATCTCAGCTCACTGCAACCTCCGCCTCCCGGATTCAACTGGTTCTCCTGCGTTAGCCTCCCAAGTAGCTGGGATTACAGGCACCCACCATCACGCCTGGCTAATTTTTGTGTTTTTAGTAGAGATGGGGTTTCACTATTTCGGCCAGGCTGGTCTCGAACTCCTGACCTCAAGTGATCCACCCACTTTGACCTCCCAAAGTGTTCAGATTATAGGCGTGAGTTACCACACCCGGCCCTGCAGCAATATTAAACATGCCCAGTGCTTAAAAAAATCTTCTTGTTCTTTTTGAAAGATGTGTTTGATGGGCTGGGCGCCACGGCTCACGCCTGTAATTCCAGCACTTTGGGAGGCTGAGGTGGGCAGATCACCTGAGGTCAGGAGTTCGAGACCAGCCTGGCCAACATGGTGAAACCCTGTCTCTGCTGAAAATACAAAAGTTAGCCGGGCATGGTGGCGCACACTTGTAATCCCAGCTACTTGGGAGACTGAGGCAGGAGAATTGCTTGAACAGAGGAGGCGGAGGTTGCGGTGAGTTGAGATCTTGCCACTGCACTCCAGCCTGGGTGACAAGAATGAGACTCCGTCTCAAAAAAAGAAAAAAAAGTTTGAAATAATTGAGGTTTCATCAAGCCATAATATTTACACTGGAAGCAAAAGAACTTGGAGCTTCTGTCTTCTTCAAAGTCATGGCTGTTATGAAGGTGACTAATTATTTCTTTTTTTTTTTTTTTAACAGTGGCTGCCTTTTCTCTATCCTCTTTCCTTTATTCATTATCAGCGCCAATGAAGCAAAGACCCCTGGCAAAGCGTAGTAAGTATTAGCCAGTGATGAAGTTTTTGCGGTGTAAAGGATTGGGGCTGTAACACCACAGTTATGTCAGTGAGGCTTTAAAAAAAAAAATTCTCACATTGTAGGAAAATCTTTTTTTTTTTTTTTTTTTTTTGAGACGGAGTCTCACTCTGTCACCCAGGCTGGAGTGCAGTGGCCGGATCTCAGCTCACTGCAAGCTCCGCCTCCCGGGTTCACGCCATTCTCCTGCCTCAGCCTCCCGAGTAGCTGGGACTACAGGCGCCTGCCACCTCGCCCGGCTAAGTTTTTGTATTTTTAGTAGAGACGGGGTTTCACTGTGTTAGCCAGGATGGTCTCGATCTCCTGACCTCGTGATCCGCCCGTCTCGGCCTCCCAAAGTGCTGGGATTACAGGCTTGAGCCACCTCGCCTGGCCAGGAAAATCTTAATGTAAGGTTTAATGAGACAGAAACACTTCTGGTATATAACCCACACTTTTCTCCATGCATATATGCACATGAGTGTGTGTGTGTGTGTGTGTGTGTATATATATATATACACATACACACTTCCAAAATTGACCTCATTATACATATTCAAGTAGAGGGCCGTATGACCTGGCCACATGAGTTTATTGATAACACTAGTAAAATATACCTTAAAATAAGTTTTTAGCAATAATAACAATAGCATTCTAAAAGTTTTATCACTTCAAAGAAAAGCTCAATCAATTTTTGATCAATTTTGGTTAAGTCAGTGTGGATACTTGTATTAGAGACTTAGGTCTGCTTTGGGTTTTTGTATGCTCTTGCTATACAGCAGAGCTCACTGTTTATCTTAAGAGGAATATTTGACTTTGTTTTGAAACTCTTCTTCCTGCAACCACAGATAGCATATGACACCTTCAGACATAGCTTGAAGCCTGTACCCCGAAGTGAGCCATAGAAAAGTACTTCTCAAATCAGAATTAATCTAAAGTATAACTATTTCCTGTAAGAGCCATAATACTTCAACGCTGGTGACTGCATTACATTCATGGCAGCAGCAGGGCCCAGTGCATTCTTTTTTTTGAGACGGAGTCTCGCTCTGTCGCCTAAGCTGGAGTGCAGTGGCGTGATCTTGGCTCACTGCAACCTCCGCCTACCAGGTTCAAGCGATTCTCCTGCCTCAGCCTCCTGGGTAACTGGGATTGCAGGTGCATGCTACCATGCCCTGCTAATTTTTTTCTCAAGTGATCCACCTGCTTCAGCCTCCCAAAGTGCTGGGATTACAGGTATGAGACACCACGCCCAGCTCCAATGCATTCTTTAGTTGCTTGTTCCATCCGTGTATCTAATATCTGTATTTCCTTGATCAAGTTTCATTTGTCTTGTCTTTCCCTTTGTAGTTTTAAATTTAATGTCAAGTTGTCAAATAACAGAAATAATTCTGAGTAACTGGGGAGCTAACAGGTTGGGTTTCTTGCCTTTTAGTCTCTTCCAGTTGCGCCTCTTCTCCTTGGTGGTCTTCTTAAGCAACAGACTCTTCCACAAGACAGTCTATCTGCAGTCAGCCCTGAGCAGCTCCACTTCTGCAGAGAAGTTCCCTTCACCGCATCCATCACCTGCCAAACTGAAGGCTGCTGCAGGCCACTGAGTTGCCTGCCATCCAAAGGGGATGGGCGGGATTGGAAGAAAGCTGTGGCAGCTCTTTTCCCTGTTCACCTCCCCCTGCCAGGGAAGGCAGGACCCACTCTGCCAAGGGCCCTCTGCGTATTCCCTTCTCTCTGAGGAATTGAAATTTTTGTCTCTGGTGCACGTAAGGCAGAATGTTCCCTGACACCAGTGTGTGGATTTTTAACATCACCGTGAGTCTGAAAGGACCACAAGTTTTTCTGCAGCTATTTTCTAGCATTTGCCAGTCCCTGTGCCTGGACTGATTTGAATACTTTGTTTTTCTCCCTGTGCCATTTACCCTTCCACCTTTCCATCCTGCCTTCTACCACCCTTGGATGAATGGATTTTGTAATTCTAGCTGTTGTATTTTGTGGATTTGTTATTTTTGTTGTTTTTCTGTGAAGCACATACATTGGATATGGGAGGTAAAGGAGTGTCCTAGTTGCTCCTGGTCACTCCCTTTATAGCCATTACTGTCTTGTTTCTTGTAACTCAGGTTAGGTTTTGGTCTCTCTTGCTCCACTGCAAAAAAAAAAAGAAAAAAAAACCCTGAAGAGATGAGATAGGAGGAAAGACCTCACAGCCAGTTCTGCTGGGTTTTGAGGAGTGATTTTCTTTCTTCCCCTTGAAGGGGAAAAAGCTATTTTCACTGGTACATTTAAAGTCCCCCAACTATGGGGAGGTACCAATTCTGGACAAGTGCCACTGCAACAACACTAAACCTGAACTTTTCAACTCCGTTGGGGGTGGGAGGCGGTGGGCAGAAATTTACTATTGGCCACTGCCAGGTCTGTTTCATATTTCAAAGGAATATTGGGTGCTGCAAATAGGAACTGAAGGGGTAAATGTATTAAACCTGTGATTGGTTGTTTTCCTGTCATTTTAAGAGACTAAATGTGGGAGGCAGATGTCAAAATACTTGTACAATTTTAAAATGTCACAATTAAACGTGAGCTGGTTTCCCACAAAGTGTGTAATGGTTGAATTTGCAAATCATGATCTTGAGAAATGTATTCATGGAATATAAGACTTTGTCTTGGATAATTTAGTAGTTTTGAGGAATTAGCCCTGAAAAATGTTCCCTGAGAAAGGCTGGATTATATGATTATAATCACATTTATATTTGGTGGAAGACTCAGATTGTTATTTGTTCTAAAGTCTATATGTACATTGCTACTGTGTATTCATGCAGTGGGAAAGACCCTCCTAGATATTGGTGTATTGAATATTAATCGAGGGAAGCCAGTAAACATCTGGTTAACAGAGACCTTTACTATGTGCAAGACAAAATATGGAATTAAAAATTGTTGCTGGGGCCAGGCGTGGTAACTGATGGCTGGGATTCTAGCACTTTGGCAGGGGCCAAGGCAGGAGGATCACTTGAGTCCAGGAGTTCGAGATCAGTCTGGGCAACATAGTAAAACCCCGTCTCTATTACATATATAAGAGGTTAGGCCGGGTATGGTGGCTCACGCCTGTAATCCCAGTACTTTGGGAGGCTGAGGTGGGTGGATCACCTGAGGTTAGGAGTTCAAGACCTGGCCAGCACGGTGAAACCCCATCTCTACTAAAAATACAAAAAATTAGCCGGGCATGGTGGCACATGCCTGTAATCCCAACTGCTCAGGAGGCTGAGGCAGGAGAATCACTTGAACCCAGGAGACAGAGGTTGCAGTGAGTCGGGATCATACTACCGCACTCCAGCCTGGGCAACAAGAGCAAAACTCCATCTCAAAAAAAAAAAGTTAAAAAAAATTGCTGGGAGTTGTAAACCAAGTTTGAAGGTTTATGCAGTTGATGGAAGGAGGGTTTTTAAATGGTGGGCATCTTGGACGTGAACACTTTCCAGCTTCGGCAGAAAAAATTGTAAAAGACATGGTTTAAAGTAAGGTATACTCCCAACATTCTCCTATGACATCTCTGGTCATTTAACGATAGTATTGCAGAGAACTACTTCCAGATTGCTAATGGGTGTGGTTTGTAGAAGACCAGTATTTCATCAACTTGTGATGAGTGATTGCCTTATTTAAGCTTAGTTTCTTAAAACTAAGTTTTAAAAAAGTAGGCTTAGTTATTTAAGCAATCACATATTTGCTTCCTGAAATTTGTATCTGTACCATTTAGAAGCATCTCATAAACTATCAGGAAAAAAAAAAAATAGAAACATCTCAGTTTAGTTTAAAAGGGTGAAGGCAGCTGGGCATGGTGACTCACACCTGTAATCTCAGCACTTTGGGAGGCTCGAAGTAGGTGGATCATGAGGTCAGGAGTCCAAGACCAGCCTGGCCAACATGGTGAAACCCCATCTCTCCTACAAATACAAAAATTAGCCGGGCATGGTGGCGCACGCCTCTAGTCCCAGCTACTTGGGAGGCTGAGGCAGGAGAATCACTTGAACCTGGGAGGTGGAGGTTGCAGTAAGCCAAGATCACACCACTGCACGCCAGCCTGGGTGACAGAGTGAGACTCTGTCTTGGGGGGTGAAAAAAGGGTCAGGGAAGTTGAGTGGATGAATGTGTATGATTTTTATCCCCAGGACTGTGCCTGGCTATCGAAAATGTGTAAAAGTTTAAATGACTGGAAGTGAGGAACCTCCAGAGTTTTATTAGCATAGTTGAGCAGTCCAGCCTTTTGTACAAAGGCTAGATTAGGCTTATCTGCAATAAGAGAAATGTGACAATCTCAAATGAGTTATAAACACAAAGCAATGTAAATTTTTCTTGCCTTTCACGAGGGTATTGTCACTGAGAGCAGTGATTAGGAAATGGGTCAAAAAGAGACTAGACTCTATTTTTGCCAAGTTCAGAATACCTGTTTGAAGCAGACTAATAATTAGTAACCAAAAACAAGGGAGCTCACAAAACTAAAAATGAATATTTGGTTGAGTATGAATCACAAAACCAGTAGGATCTGAGGAATTGTTCCCAGAAGCACTTTTTAAGGGATAGACATCACAACTTGGACAGGTATATGTAATAGAAAACACAACCCTTTTTATTCTATCTATAGAGCTGAGTTGTCTGTTATAGCAACTCTCAAAATTAGAAAGTAGATGCTTTAGATCTGAGTACATTAAGTCTACTAGAAATTTAAACAACACATTCATGTACAGATGTGTTAACTGCTCTGCACTTAATAAAAGGATAGCATCTATGAGAGAAAAAGCAACTACAGTTGTCTATTCACTGTCTCATTTTCCACCCACAAATATTACTTTATTTTCTGATTATAGCAGTAGCATGTTCATTATGCTCCTTTATGTGTGTTTACCTCCATTATTGAGATTGCTTTGGTGAAGGTTATCTGTTCATCAGTAGTGGGGTGGATAGATAGTTTAGCAGTCATCCCACCTTTTATTAACATATTCTGGGCTGGGTGCGGTGGCTCATGCCTGTAATTTCAGCACTTTGGGAGGCCGAGGCGGGCGGATCACGGGGTCAGGAGATGGAGGCCATCCTGGCTAACATGGTGAAACCCCGTCTCTACTTAAAATACAAAAAATTAGCCGGGCGAGGTGGCACGCGCCTGTGGTCCCAGCCACTCAGGAGTCTGAGGCAGGAGGATTGCTTGAACCTGCCAGGCAGAGGTTGCAGTGAGCCGAGATTGCGCCACTGCACTCCAGCCTGGGCAACAGAGTGAGACTCCATCTCAAAATTAAAAAAAACGATATTCTGCCTAAGTTGTATAACCTATAGAAGTTAAAAGGAGGCTGACTTCAGGTCAGTGTAATTTACACATTTGTAACAATGAGAGCCATACACCAGTACAAATTTTGGATGGACCTAAAATGAGTTTGCAAAAGCACTGAAGGATCAAGTGAGGGAATTATGACTTAATCATGTAACAAGTACTGAGCAAGGGACTGGGGACTCAAGGGTGAACCAGAAAGATATGATTACTGCCTTCTAGGACCTGACAGTCCAGTAAGAGAAACTGACAAGCAAATGAATATGCAAAAATTTCAAGAATTACATGATTAGCTATTTTTCCATAGGTCTCAAAGCTGGATAAAACACTGGAATTCAGGGAATCTTTGAGTAAGATGAGCAATTAGGCCATGTGTTCAGCCTCTCCTTGTACTCATTCCGATTTCAAATTTAAATGTTCTGTAGTGCTTTGAGACCTAGAGAAAAAAAAAACAATGACCATTTAATCATTTAGGTAAGTTCCTCTAATCATTCCTCTTCACGAGGAATCAACATCGCAATCAGCTCAGCAGCTTTTCCAAAACACAAATAACAACACCTGGCTCTGGAGGAAATTTAAGTAATTGTGGAAACAAAAGGTAATTTAAGAAATTCTAATAACTATTTTCACAGAGATTTCAGAAGCTACTGCATCCACAAAATAAGAACAGATTATTGTGAAAAGAACAGAATAGGAAAGCTCTTGGAAATTAAAACAGTTACGGAAATTTTTTAAAATGAGATGGCTTATAAAAGTGACACTGGCCAGGCCCGGTGGCTCAAGCCTGTAGTCCCAGCACTTTGGGAGGCTGAGGTGGGCGGATCACAAAGTCAGGAGATAGAGACCATCCCGGCTAACACGGTAAAACCCCGTCTCTACTAAAAATACAAAAAATCAGCTGGGCGTGGTGGCGGGCGCCTGTAGTCCCAGCTACTCAAGGTCTGAGGCCGGAGGATCCTTTGAGCCCAGGAGGTTGAGGCTGCAGTGGGCTGAAATTGTGCCACTGCACTCCAGCCTGGGTGACAGAATGAGACCTTGTCTCAAGGAAAAAAAAAAAAAAAAAAGTGACACCGAGGAGGCTAAATTAGTGAACTGCAAGATAATATTGAGGAAATCTTCCAGAACATACGGCAAAAAGATCAAGAAAAAGTTAAGAACAGGAGAGCCTTCCAAGAACCAGGAGATAAAACATTTGTCCAACAGCAACTTCAGAAAATGAGAATAGAAAAATGGAGATGAATAAAATCAAAGAACATTTCCTGAACTGATTATACAAATTTTAGCTTTCAGACTGAAAGGGCCTGCCAAATGTAAAGCAGAAAAAAATGAAAGAAGACAAAACACATAGATGAAATCTCTAAGGAAAGACAATTTATCAGAGAGGGAAATAGATTACCCATAAAGGAATGTGACTCGGATTGGCATCAGGTTTCTTAAGGCACAGTGGATCACGGACAATATAGTCACAATGCCTTGAAAGTGTGCTTTTCTAGGCCGGGTGCGGTGGCTCAAGCCTGTAATCCCAGCACTTTGGGAGGCCGAGACGGGCGGATCACGAGGTCAGGAGATCGAGACCATCCTGGCTGACATGGTGAAACCCCGTCTCTACTTTAAAAATACAAAAAAAAACCTAGCCGGGCGAGGTGGCGGGCGCCTATAGTCCCAGCTACTCGGGAGGCTGAGGCAGGAGAATGGCGTGAACCCGGGAGGCGGAGCTTGCAGTGAGCTGAGATCCGGCCACTGCACTCCAGCCTGGGCGGCAGAGCGAGACTCTGTCTCAACAAAAAAAAAAAAAGAAAGTGTGCTTTTCTGTGTCTGTGTGCAATTGGGGTGGGTGGGTCCCAATTTTGTTCCTAAAATTCTAAACCTAGCCATGCTATTAAGGACAAAATACAGATATTTTCTAACACGAAACGGCAATGTTTGCTTCCATTCAGCTTTTCTAAAACACTTACTTAAAAAAAAAAACTCATCAAAAGTGAAAAATAAATCTAAGAAATAGAAAGATGTCTTATCAGATGATAATCTATGGAAAAAAAAAAAAAAAAGAACGATGTCTTATTAAGACAAAACACCCAACCAAATAACATAAAACAGTGGAATCCAGAAGCGCACTCAGGGGAAATCCCAGTAATACAACTTTGCACACACTTAGAAACATGGGTTCTGGAGAGAACAGCTTCAAGAACACAGATACTATTACTCTGGTGTGCTACAAATGAGACGAAGGCATCAGTTTTGTTTATCAATGATATACAAGAAAGATAAACCGATACTTTAAGAAAGACCAAAAGCTCTACAAAAAAGTTCTAACTTCTACATCAAAACATTCCTTTTAAGCAACTGATGAAATAGTAAAAGCATTGCTTTCTGAAACAACCAGTTCAAAACTTTTGGGCTTATAAATCAGGAGGGAGGAGGATTAACTGATACACTATAGTTCATGTATAAACTGTAGGTTTATTTATTTATTTATTTATTTAGAGACAAAGTTTCACTCTTGTTGCCCAGGCCGGAGTGCAATGGTGCGATCTTGGCTCACCCCAACCTCTGGCTCACAGGTTCAAGAGATTCTCCTGCCTCAGCCTCCCTAGTAGCTAGGATCCCAGGCTTGCACCACCACACCTG